TCATCTGCCCCGCACCACCTCGCCCTGGCCCTGCCCGCCCTCCCTGCGGGTGCCCCTGTGCCCGGGATGCTTCCCCGGGTCGCACCCTGCGGCTCCCCTCGCCGTGTCCCTCCATCCCTCCGCAGCCTCCGTGCCCCCCGGCTCCCCTCCGGCGGTCCTTCCAGCTGCACCGTGGCGTGCCTCGGTCCCCGTGTGTCCCACTGTCCCCCCTCCGCCTGTCCCGCTCCATCTCTTGCATCCCTCGCCTCGTCTGTCTGCCCTGCACGTTCATCTGGTTCACTGCATGCATCTGTCTGTTGAGGCTTGCATTTCGCCCGTCCGTTCGTTTCTCATTTATTTAGCTTTCATTCGTAGCTTTGGCCTTGTCTGTTTGTCCACTGCTTGCAGCCTCCTACCGAGCGTGTCTGTCTCCTCTCTGTCCGTCAGTCCATTTACTAACTGTGCCATCCATCCCCACGGTACCAGCCATCTCAATCCTGTCCAGCCATTGCAGTTATGTGTCACTGAATCCCTTCAGCGCAGCTTTCCAGCAGTTTATCCAGGCAACCACTGTGCCTGTGAACTTTGCACATCTGGCTCTAACACCATCACTCTGCGAATTATCTCTCTCTTGTCTATCTGCCCATCTCTCCTTTCCTTCATCGCTCTATCGCTCAGTTCGGCTTTTTTCTCTCTCTATCTTCCCGTGGCATCTATATATCATTTGTCCACAAAATAAATCTCTTTCTATCCTGTATACTGCCCACTCATCTTCTTTATCTACCCTCCCACTTACCAAAGGCATATACATTTACAGTATCTATGGGATCTGTTGCATTATACATATGCTTGTTATATTCACATACAAAATTTATGGGCACACACAATCTCACACAACACAAGTGATGTGGATCGGTGCAGCAACACCGTAGCTGTTCTTTTTCTGTCACTGTCACCACAGTTTATAAAGAAGTTGTGTATTTACTAACAGGTGAAAGGCTTTCTTAGCGTACATTTTGGGGTTTGTTGGTTTTTTAATAGGCTGTTGTTGGGAGATCCGGGGTGGGCTTGTACTTCCCTTTGGTATTCAATCAATCGCTGGCTTTTGTAACACTTCCAGAATCGACTTTATGTAAAACATAGACAAACACAGTGAAAATTTTTGTCACTGAAATATTACAAGGTACCAAATGGGCCCTGGAGGCACATTTGAAAGGCATCTAGGGTTACAAATGAAGACACTGACTACGCAAAACAAAAAAAATCCCGTTCATTGACAAAAATAATAAAGATTCTTAGGAAAAGAAAAGGAAGAAAAATCTACATTTGGCTCTGTACAGAAAGAAGCGAAACAGATAAGGGAAGATGAGAAAATCCCTTTCCAGCAATAATTTTAAATAGCGGTTGGGAGGCTTTGATGCAAGGACCAGAATTACAGTCTCCGCCGTAAAGGCCAGTTTGCACATTTATCACCTACACCAAATTTAGTTAGGACTTATAGTACAAAATTGCAGGATGGCCCCTGGTATTTCTGAAATATTTCATGCAGCAGGCTCTTTTGTTTACAAATAAGGGGTTATGTCAGACATTTGGTGACATTTGGCTTTCCGTGACAATTTAGCTCCTTTAATTCTGGTGTTATTGAAAAGTGTATTGAGAACAGCCAGGAACAGCGTTACAGTGAGAGCAAGCGCTTCACTGCCTCGCCTTGTATGGGAGTTTATCATTTCGGGGGAGAAAGGCAGAGATCGAAACGATTAATAATAGCAGATATTCTACCAGACTGAGGGGGGGTTAGCTTGATCTTTTGGACAAGCAGGCACATTGCTGAAATATTTTCCCCTCCGTCTCATGAATCCTCTCTGTTAAACCGCGATGAGAATATGTGAAAATCGAAACAAAATCCCTGCTTTGGCATTGGCATTTCAGTGGTTATTGAAAAGGCTCTCCCTGCAAGAATTGGCAGGTAGCTGAAAGTTAAAACTATTCTTAAACCGATGAGATAGCAGAGTCCGAGTGTCGGTCTTTTCAAGGTGCTGCTGTAGCGTCTCTAAAGGTGGCTGGCTGGAAAAAAACCCTATATTCTGAAGAGCTCTTCTGGTGTCTGTGGATCTGACACATCTGACCACAGCCCGGTGATGAACGTTGCTGTGAGAAGTCCCTTTTCGATTCATTTTGATTGCAAATTGGGGATATCTGATTCAGTGCATGCCTTCTGGCCGGCACAGCCGATCTGCTGTGCTCTAGCATTGTCCCTGAGTCCAGAATGGCACACAGGCTAACGTTTCCTTTTTGACTTAATCTTGCTGATCTCTCCTTATCTTGCAGACGATCTGGCCTCATCTAGAGTCCGCCTCTATTTCTTCATCTCGAATGAAGGGAACCAGAACTTGTTTGTCGTTCAAGCCAGCCTGTGGCTTTACTTGAAGCTGCTTCCATATGTCTTAGAGAAAGGCAGCAGGCGAAAAGTAAGAGTCAAAGTCTATTTCCAAGACCCGGACACTAGCAACAAGTGGAATGTGGTTGAAAAGAAAGTTGATCTCAAAAGAAGTGGTTGGCACACTTTTCCCATGACAGAGGCGATCCAGGCTCTGTTTGAGAGAGGAGAAAGGAGACTGAACTTGGATGTTCAATGTGAGGGCTGTGAAGAGTATTCAGTGCTGCCAATTTATGTGGACCCCGGGGAGGAATCCCACCGGCCTTTTTTAGTGGTGCAAGCCCGCCTCGCCGATAACAAACACAGGATCCGGAAAAGAGGCCTGGAGTGCGATGGCAGGACCAATCTATGTTGCAGGCAACAGTTTTACATTGACTTTAGACTCATTGGGTGGAATGACTGGATCATAGCACCATCAGGTTACTATGGGAATTACTGTGAAGGGAGCTGCCCGGCCTACTTGGCCGGCGTCCCGGGGTCGGCTTCCTCCTTTCACACCGCCGTCGTGAATCAGTACCGAATGCGGGGGCTGAACCCGGGCACCGTGAACTCCTGTTGCATTCCAACCAAACTTAGCACAATGTCAATGCTGTACTTTGATGATGAATATAACATTGTGAAAAGGGACGTTCCCAATATGATTGTGGAAGAATGTGGTTGTGCTTGATTTAAGGTGTGTTTTGGGGGGGGAGAGAGAGAGAGAAAGAGTGGGGGGGGAGAGAGAGAGAGAGAGAGAGAGAAAAAAAACATTCCCGTACGAGATGGTGTTGGAGGAAGTTTCACTGTGTATCCAGGCATCAGTGTTGGAAAGTCACTGTGGAAAAGTTTGACAAAAAAAAAAAAAAAAGAAAAAAAGAAAAAAAATCATTTCACTTTGGTGTCAGGACAGTGGCAGTTTGTGGATCTTGGACACTTATATATTCTACCACTTATAAGTTAATGTTATGAAATATCTTAAAGACACACACATACACACGTAACGTGGACACGCACACAAACACGCACTCATACACACACACACACACAGACAGACACACACACACACGAGGCAGCTCGGAAAAGGTACATGAGCACAGAAAGTCAGTGACCAGTGACGACGGACCTAAATGCCTGCCGGTACAAGTGAACGGCTGAGCAGCTGTTTCCCCGCCTGCCGGCGAAGCCAGACCGAGATGAGCTCCCTTTGCTCAGGCAAAAGCACAGACTGCGAGAACATGACGTATTCTTGCACACAGGTGTCGAAATGACCAAACTTAGAAAATTATTAAAAAAAAAAAAGAAAAAAAAAGTCAACCGTCACCTCTTAGGTCTAATGGGAAGCTGCAGGACACCTGCCTTGGGAGATGATCACTTCCTCTTAATTTAAATTTATCTAAATGTAAACATCACAGATACCCGCATCTTCCTACAGCACTTCCAGTAAGGAATTGTGTGGTACCATCAGAGAGAGAGAGAGAGAGAAAAGGGGACAGATGCATAAGCAACTGCTGTATTTCTAACATCTGCCCATTGCAAAGTCACAAACTGGGCTGGCGTGATCCGATGCTTTAACTGCCCGCTAGCAACCTGTGGATGGCTACACCTGCCGTGTCTCGGAAAAGGGGATCCGATACCATGTCTGGACTGTGTTGGCATCTCTCACTGTTTGGAGAATGAAAAGTCAAAGTTGCAATCTGTGTTCTTCAATGGGGGACTCATCAAGGACACGCACGTGGGGGACGAGCAAACAAGCAACCGCCACCACAGCTAAACCAATGAACCCTAAAGAGGAGTGACAGTAACAAAGTGGAGACGTTCTGAAAAATGCAGTGCGTTTAGTAACAGGCGAGGAACATTTTAACAAGTCTTGGAAAGGAGGAGAGAGGAGAGTGCTTTCAATTTCCTTACCAGGAGGTGTCGAGGATGGCCATAAAGATCAGAAAATAATGATACAGCATAGCACTTGCAAACTGCTTGAATGCACGTATAATAGCACTTGCAAATTTCAATGCCTTGAAAAGTGGTACTTGATAGTGCACTTATCTTTGCTCACTATCTAGGTAAACAGGTGCCGCATGAGCTATGCAATTTAAAGTGTTGACCCATACTAGACAAAACTGGACTTACGATATGACTTTTTTATATTTTTTTATACTTGAAATTAAATCTTTTGCTTCTTTTTTAAAGCGAATGATTGCTTTTAATGTTTGCACTGATTTAGTTGCATGATTAGTCAAAAAACTGCCATTTGAAAAAAATGTTATTTTTATAGCAGCAAAAAATGAATACAGTTAAATGTATTATACATAAATTTTGGAACCAAAGAGGCCAACATATTAGTTATAATTTTTATGAGATGGCAAAGCCATCATATATCATGTAGTCATACTGAGCAATCCCTCACGAGGCCTACCAATTGTTTCAGGGTACAAAAATGGATTCTGTTTGTTCTATTCAGTGTCTTTTCTATACCATACGCACATGGAAGGTAGAGTGAAAAAAAATTACTATTGTAGAATACATTACAATATGTGCATCCTTTAAATCCAATTTTTATGTTTATTTAATAAAGTTCCTTTTAGGTTCTGTTCCATAATAATTTAAACCAAACAATTTTCACTTAGATTTGCTGTTGAAGTATTTTACATTTGTGTACAGTTTAAATAAATAAAAAAGATTGAAAACTGGATGTGCTTTTTTTTTTTTTTTTCTTTTTTCTTTTTCAGTGTGTAACATCTGGAGGGACTCGCTTACTTTCATGACTGAATGCGGCTGCAGACAGTGAACTGTCGCATTAGACCGTATTCGTATTAGTCATTGCAGAAAGCCTTGTCTGAGAGCTCAGCTGCGATCCTAAAAATGTTACACTCTGATTTTATTGCCGTCTATACATGTAAGCATCTGCTTCTTTCTATCTGCATCAGTGCAGGGTCTCTGGGCGCAGGAATGGCGCTGTTCCGCATACCTGCAGGTCATTTACAGCAAGTTCCTGGTTCACCTGCTGTGTAAGAATGTAACTTCTTGTCTAGGTCACTCCCTGATCGGTTACAAGAAGTAAAAAAAATAATGTGGAAAGCACTTCCAGGAAAGAGAGGTCAGTACTGTTTGATGAACTTTTTTTTTTTTTTTTTAATTAGCTGGCACTAAGGAAAGGTGGGGGCGTTTTTTGAGTAAAATACATCGCCTTTACTAACAAACCCCAAAAATGTTCACAAATACTCATAGAAATTCTTGTCAGCTGCACATATATGCAGATATTGATTTCATTGATCTTCACAGATAAATTCTTCCTCCTGGAGACCTGAGCAAATGCCAGCTGAAGCTGACAGAAGGACCTCTGTTGACTTAGCAAACGTTAAATCTGACCCCGAGACCTGGAAAGTGTTGAAGAAGCAAGTTCATGCAACTAATGATGGGTTCTAGTTACAATTCACATTCAAGCGTAGCTCTGCCCATCCCTCCCCAAAGCCAGACATAGGGGTTAAACGGCTTTGTTTCGGGAGACCTCTAAGAGCAATTTGCTGTGGCTGTGTCAACAACCTGCTGCACAGAACTTTGTCCCCCAGACCAAATTTTTTGAATACTTCATAGCTTTCTCACCACCTCAAACTGCACGTTTGTTGTCAAAGCCACCGCTTGCTGTTGCTGCTCCATCTCTTAGCAGCCTTCTCCCTGTCTTTGTTCCCTGGGTCAGCTGTGCTGCTGACAAGTTCAATAAATTCCCCTTGAAATCAGTGGCAAATACACACCCCTTCAGTCTGAAGGCACATTTGACCTAATATGACACCGTCCTTATGAATCAGACTGGGCTGCACTTTTAAAAATGGGATGTATTAAGAAATCTTGCCCATGGAAATGCAAGGCCCTGGAGGCTGGGTCTGGTTAGGTTTTGTTCTTAATTGAAAGTGTTAGGTTTCTGGGGGCGATGCCAAGCCCTGCATTGGACACTGGGACTCCTGTGCTGTCCCAAAAGAAGAGCAGGATGTCTCAGCATGGGATTTGGACCTGCAGCTCTGGCGAGTTGGGAGCTGCTGGCAGCCAGGATGCCGTGAGCTTGGGCTGGTCAGGAGAGAGGGGCAGAAATGGGCTGTCCTCTGCATCCCACTGCAAACCCATAGGTGAGCCCAGGATCCTGGACTCTTTCAAAAAGGCCTGCAAAGAACACTCCTTTTCTTGGTAAAAAGCTTTCACAGCTTTCTTCCCCTGCCTTCCTTGCTCCCCATTTGCAGCTATGGCCCTGAAATTCATGGGGCAAAAATAGAAACACAAAGAGCATGAATTGGTACCATGAGAGGGATATCATCAGGCAGTGGGAAGAGCTGGATCATAGTCCATGTTCCCAGGTCCTTTTATTTTGTGTGAAACAGTTTCTGGCAACAGATCTGAACAGAACATGCAGTTGAGTTTTCTGCAGTGTGGAGTCACTCACTGCTCTGGGCACGCTACAGACAGTGAGGTATTCCCAAGTCCTGGTGCTAACAGCAACCTGTCACACAGATTTCTAAAGCTAAAATGAAATAAAACTTAAAAAGTCTTAATTTTGTGGGACCAATCTGAGACAGTTCGAACTTGATTTTTCAGATGTGACAAGGGTACTGCTCCTGCCAGGTTTCTGCAGAGGGCTGCAGAAATTCCACTTTTTGCATCTTCCACCTCCTACCTTTTTAAAATCAGGAAAAATGAAAAATGAAATGCTCAAGCTTGATGACTGCTTTTTGAAAATTTTGGGGTTTATTTTCTCATGTCATTACCATCTTTATAACACTGAGCATTCAGTTTCATTGCCTTATGCCAGGTTAGATACTGAACCTAAAAAACCAGCTGGATCAGGTCCATACCCACCCTGAGGTGCCTCTCTCTTGTCTCCAATGGTCTTTGAATTTGGTGCTGTAAATGTTAAATCACTGTCTTCTATCATGCGGCAGAATCAATCTCTGCAGCTGGAAGATATTCTTCCTTTAACGTATTCTGACACGGGTAAAACCCCAGTTCTGGTACCTCAACCTCCCACTGGCGTTAATGAGGGTGGTGTGAACAGGGTGACTATCACAATGTGGTGCAACAGAACACTTGGTGGATTAACTCTGCATACATCACGTATTTCCACACGTAACAGACACCTGCTTCAAAATTGCCAGCTCTCACCTGCTTTGCTTTGTTACTTGTGAGAGATGAAATCAGCAGCTGAAACTAATTGCTGCACTCCCCTGACATGGGAGAAAAGGGAAACCTCTCACTGAATGAATCCTTCTTAAGAATAATATTTGTTTGGATGGGTTTCTGCTGTGAATGGTTGAAGACCATTTTGCAAAATGGATTAGGAATACAATTTTCTGTCTAAGAGGAGAATCTGTTTCTGTTAATACTGGTGTCAGTCTGCAGTAGCTCCCCTAAAGTCTGCAGATGTAACTCAGGCTCGCACCAATATAACTAAAGAAACACCTCGATCTGTTTTTCTTGAAATCCTGATTGGGCCCAGCTCATTCTCAGTATTTCTAAAAAAATTTTTTTTGTTTTCCTTAGGTTAGATTTAGCAAAACCCACAGATGCTGCATGAGAGATCGGAACAGAGAAGACACCTCATCTGGTCATGAACACAAGGAGATTCTCCCTGCATACACTGGAATTTGGCCAGGAACTAGCAATCTTCATTTAGCTTTCATTTGCTTGCCCAGTCAGTACCCTTGAACCAAAAGCTGGATTTACCTGACTGCTTGTAATGGTAGGGGCCAATTTTATTTGGGTAACTTCATTGATTTCAGGGGAATTGTTTCTGATTTGTACTAGAATAAGTGGGAGCAGATTTAGGTTCTTTAATGTTCTTCCAGTTTAGCTCTTGGAATAACTTATATTTCATTATTATGTGTTTATGTAATTAGTGCAATTATATCAAATTATATAATTGGTACAATTACTTGGACTCATGTAACCACTGCATATAGCATTCCATGCTGTAAAATCTTTTACTCTGGGAAAAAAAAAAAAAAAAGAAAAAAAAAAAAGAAGAAGCCAATATTACTTGGGAATCTTAATTTGTTTTTAAATTCCAGTATCAAATTTAGGGCCTGACCACATGCAAGGAACTTCTGGTTCACATCAGTAGAACTTCTCTGAGCAGGCAGCTTGCAGCCTTCATCATAGATATTGGGTTTTTAATCTGATTTGGCCAATTCTATTCAACAGAGGCCCTCCTTGAATGTGTGCAGCTCTAACCAGTCTTCCTTGTATGAAGCAGAGATGTCAAGCTTTTACACACATGCCATATAACCCGAGAGTCTCTGAAGCCATCAGAGACCCGAGATATACATACAGCTTCCTTATACTTGATCAGATTTGCCACCTTTATGATCTGATGCTGAGAATTTTAAGATAATAATTTGATTAATTCATAAAATGCCTCTATTTGGTCCTTGAAATTGTTTTTGTCCCCCACTATAATCTGCTTTCAGGGTACACTGTTATGAAAGCTTGGAAATAGAAGTGGTCAGCAAAGGGGTCTGCAGTGGGCAAAGTCAAAGTAAGCATATCCAGCAAAACAGAAAAAAGGGCAAGAACAAAACCCAAGTATATTGATTTTCTTAAGTCAGACATCACCATCAGGGAAGACCAAGGATGAGAGCTGTGGTTGCAGGCCACCTGATGGACCTCTCCTAGTGAACAGATCATCCCTCCCAGGTGCTGAGCGTTTCAATTGCCTGGCCCAAATGCAAGCATTGACTCCAGCTGCACAGTGCGCAGATCCCAGGTGAGGCACATCTCTACCTAATGACAGCTCTGCAGAGCCCGGCTGCTGCACGCTCCTTCTCACTTTGGATCTGCTTTTGGAGAGTGTTTACCTCCCAGTGTTTTCCTGCAGACTGGCCTTTGAAAACAGGCTGAGAGAGGCAGCTGCAGCCTACTACAGCACAGCCATTTTAGGGCTGCAGCTAGTGCTGCCTTGCTGCCTTTCTCCAGCTGGTAAGTGTGCTCAGTGCTTGTTATTTTTATCTTGAGCTTTTGCTTTGTTTTTGAGGATAATTGCACATTATTGCTGCAATATGTTATAATAAGTGCTATGAAGATGGCTATTGTATCCAAGGGGAAAGAAGATGTGGCTGGGGAGCAAACTTAAACCTACGTGTCAGCAAAACAAACACGCCGTGTTTGGGCTGTGTCAGTCAAGTGGTACCAAAGTGGCATTTAGGTTTTGCCCAAGTGGAGGCTGCAGGGCTGATCTCGTCCCTCTTTGCTTTGTTGGATGGAGTGGTTTGTGTCTGTTCCTGCAGAAGAGTTTGTCACAAGCTGTGGAAGAGCTGCAGTGGCTGTGCTTTCCTGTGGCCAGAGCTTAGCTCCTTGCTTGGGTGATGGGGAAGCCGGTCCTGGGCAGCGCAGCAGGAGCAAGGTAGGAGGGATGGATGCTCATGGGGCGTCCATTTGAGGATGAAAGGTTATAAATGCTGCCAGAATTGGCTCCTGGGAGCTGGAGTAGACTGGGCTTTTGGCCTCTGGACCCCCCTGTCCCACCTTCTATTGTTCTCTGTAATCAGGTTCGGTCTCTTATGGATTTTTTTGGGGTCAGGTTTTGGAACTGACCCACAGCTGTGGGACTCCAATCATTAAAAAAAATAATTCAAGACCTTGTAAATTAAGGCCTTGGGCTCTTATGAAAGGAAACAAACAACTCTTATCTGTCTTAATGAGAGTCGTATA